AGATCTGGTGAAAATTTCAAACTTCGACGTAAAACGCTGGCGTTAGCGCCAATTTTTTCGGAAACAGTAGAAATTTTAAAACTCTCGTAAGCGAGTGGCAATAATTGTCTAACTTTCACCAATAATTTCCTTGAGTCATGTGATCCAATAGTTTTGTTGAAAAAACAAAATTTTGAAAATCCGAGTACGCTAAGTAATTATCCCAGAAAAGCATTTTTTTCCTTGTTCTAATAAGATAAGATTCCTATTTTTGACGAAATGGAATTTTTTTTAATTTATCAATATAAATATAGTTTAGTATAGATGAATCGATTATACTAATCCAATCATGTATCCATTTATTCATAATTAACAATAAAGTATTTTCTGAAAAGTTTTGTATCAAATTGTATATAAATTTTTATTCATATATTATATTTATAAATCAAAGAACTACTAATCAGGAATAATGAAGGAAAGAGAAGTTCATTTTATTTCTGGTATAAACCACCAAATTCTCAAAATTAAACACTATCACAGATTTGCATCAAACCATTTCTTATGATAGTGATTTTAATCACTGTCAGGTATCATCTATACTTCTCCCAACTATACTACGTTTACACTGTGCTGCGATCCCACTTTGCTTTCGTTTTTTTCATTAGAATGAGCATAAAAATCTTTTCAAATTTTTAATTTATATTACTTTATATTTCAGTACTGTTCAAGTATTTATTTACAGTATTCCTCCTGTGTATGTGTAAATATATAAATGCGGACTAATTTTACCATTTTAGCTTCGATGTGAAGCTGAGAATTTATTAGTTTTACTATGATGTGTTTTTTTTTGTGTCTTTTACCAATTTTTCTTAGCTCTCATCGACCCGATTTCCTTCTGTGATACGTCAAAATATCACAAAACGTATCTAGTGGAAGATATTACCCTCAAAAATTTTAAAAATTTTCCTCGTTTCCCGTAAATAGAAGAAATCTCCAAAAAAATTACAAATTTAAAAATTGCTAATTTTCAACATTTTTTCAATTATTTTTACTTAAAACTGTCATAACTTTTTCAAAAATGACCAAATCAATATAAATTTTTTTTATAGATGCATGATGTCTTTACCTATCTTTTGATATATTTTTTATATAAACACTTTTATATATATCTTAAATTAAAACTAATGTAATATAGTTTATTATGGAAAAAACAAATTTCGGACTTTATTTTGTCTTCATGGTAAATATGTCTACCGCATGTAATTTTTGTGTTAAAATCTTCGATTTTGTATTTTATTTTATTTTAAAATACCTTACAAAAATTTTTGAGCTAGGGAAATATTTTTAAATTATTTGATTTTTATCTCATATAGATACAATAACATTAATAAATATCAAGGAACCATTACTGTAGTCCTTCCTCGTTTGAAGAAATTTCTTATTCATATTAAAGTTTTTTTGTGTGATTTTTTTTATGGCTCTCATTTATTATCTCAGCTCTCACTTGATCAAATTTTTTAACGATACATCAAATAATCATGACTAATACATACAATTGAGTAGATTTTTTTGGCATTTTCATTGATTTTTTTAATTAAAGTAAATCATTAAAATTAATTAAGTTCTGATAATTTCAATTGTAGAATATTTTTAATCACCAAAAATTACTTAGAAATGATTACTATGATTTCTATTTAAGTGATTTATTACAATAAAAATGCAAAAAAAAATATTGAGCTTTTCTGATAAATTTACAGTAAATATTAATTATACACCCAAAGAAAAACCTCAATCAAAATTGAAAGAGAAATTTTATCAAGGGTTTATGATAATGTTTTATTAATACAAACAAAATAACTATTCTTATAAATAATTATTGTTCAAGACAAAAAAAAAAAATATCATATTGATAAATATATCATTGATTCAATATTAATGATATATTTATCAAATTGAACAATGAATTTATTATATAGATCGAGGTTTTTCTCTGGGTGTATAATTTCCTGACAGCATATTAATCTTACCGATACTATTTTTTTATTCTCATAAAATTTTATATTTAATTATGTCAAGCCCTTCAATTTTTATACACGTTTGCCATAAAAATAATAACTATTTTGTCATTTTTTATCAATTTTCCGAAAAGTTTCAATACTAAATTATTAGATATCAATTTCATACTATGCTGAATCGCTTTAATAGATATTTATTTATAATTTATACTTATAAATCAACTACTAATTAGGTAAATGATAGAAATAGGAGTTAATTTTACTTTTAGAATAATCAACTAATTTCTTAAAATTAAAGACTATCAAAGATTTGTATTGAAGTATTTTTTAGGATAGTGATTTTAATCACTGTCAGATATCATCTATACTCGATCCAACTATACTATATCCCCACTGTGCCGCGACCACACTGTACTGTTTTTTTATTGTGTTTGTCCATTTAAATAACTCTAACTGTTCCTATTTTAATAGTCTGTGCGTTAAAAGAACATGATTTTAGTGAAGTAAGACCTGTCAACTTCAAAACAATTTAAAAAAACTCAATTTCGTCAAAAATAGGAATCTTATGATATAATAAAACAAGGAAAAAAATGCTTTTATGGGAATATTACTTAGCGTACTAAAATTTTCAAAATTTTGTTTTTCAACGAAACTATTGTGTCACGAGACTCAGGGAAAATTATTGGTGAAGGTCAGAAAATTTTTGCCGGTCACTTACGAGCATTTTACGACGAGGTTTGAAAATTTCACTTATTTTACAATAATGTTACATTTATATTTGATAAAATTGCTATAATTTACTTTGTAATGTATAGTAATTTAATATTATAATATACAAGCGAATTACTGGGTTGAAATAATTGTTTCATTCCAAAAAGAATATTCACGTACCGAAAGTTAATTTATCCACATTGTTTAATCTGATAAGTTATCAACAGCCGTTGGATAATATAAAAAATTAATTTTGTTAAGTTATCTACATTTACTCTTAATCTTCGCGCCGCGATTGTTTTACCGCAGACTATATGAAAACAGATAGTTCACTTAGCCGAGAACAATAGAAAAAGAAATCAAGCTCTCTGATTGGGCAGAAGACAAAGCAGTAGAGACTATTGTACAATTTCATATTATTGTGCAAATATTTTACAATAATATTGTACAATTCCTCTATCAGTTACAAAAATTATCAATGATATTGGAATTAGTGACACTATTGCATTTTAAATACTTGAACGATAATTAATTATAACTGTTCGCATACTTATTTTGTTTAAATAATGTTTAGTCTTAATAAAAATGTTTTTTTTTTTAATATTGTCTGACATTATGAATATTGTGTTTAATTTGTATAAAAGTTGACATTTTGTGTAGTTTACTATTTCATAAATTTTTTGTCAACGTTTAGTTAGTTTTACCTATAATATATGAAGCTGTAATTTTTGGTAAAACTGTTAATAGTATTATATTTTTTATAAAATTTGAATTATTTTAGATATAATAAATAATAATATAAATTATATAATAAATTTTATATTTTTATTATTATTATTATTGTTAGCCATTTTTGGCCAAATTGTAGCCATTTTCACCGTGAAGACAAAATAAAGTCCGAAATTTTTTTTCCCCAAAATAAAGTATATTACATTAGCTTTAATTTAATATATATATAAAAGCGTCAGTATTTCCGGAACACTTTCAAAAGTTAAGTTGAAAAAGTTAATTTTTTGTGAAAAAAGGGTAAAGGGTTAAATTTATAAAAAAAATATACCAAATAATAGGTAAAGACATCAAATATCTATATAAAATTTTCATTTTTGAAAAAGTTATTGTAGTGTTAAGAAAAAAATGTCAAAAATTACTGATTTTTAAAATTGTAATTATTTTGGAGATATCTCCCACTTATGAAGAATGAAGGAAAATTTTTCAATTTTTGAGGGTAACGTCTTCGACTAGATACGATTTGTGATCTTTTGACGTATCGTTGAAAGAAATCGGTTCGGTAAGAGCTGAAGATGAGTGGTAACGGTCAGTTTTTAGTAAAAAAAATTGAAAAAATTTCGAAAATTAGAGATTTTTAAATTTGTAATTTTTCTGGAGGTTTCCCCCATTTACGGTGAATGAGGGAAATTTTTTCAATTTTTGAGGGTAATGTCTTCGACTAGATACGATTTGTGATCTTTTGACGTATCATTGAAAGAAATCGGTTCGGTGAGAGCTGAAAAAAACAAGCTAACAGACACACAAAAAATAAATAAATTAAAGAAACACACATCATAGTAAAATTAATACCTTCTCAGCTTTGCATCGAAGATAAAAAATACTGACCACTAAATATTGTAGGTACTGCATCATGACCAGCCGATTTTTTGTAGTCTTTTTCAAAAACATTTTATCGTCAAAATGATCCGCCCAAACTACTAGATTATTTTTTTTTTGGATAAAGTCTCTGCCAAATGATTAGTTTGACAATTATTCATCCATAGTTTCAAACGATCGTTTTCTTTAGGATAAGAAAAAAAGCTTTTATCCTTGAAGGAATATGTACTTGGACAAAACTTTACTGAGCATCGCATACTGGTGAGGTAGTGAGATATTTTGAAAGAAAGCACCAAATATAACACGAAATAAGATACATGTGATCATTGACAACATTAACAATAACAATTGTTACTGCTCAAGTCAAATTTAAGTAGTTAATAATTTACATTATAAAAACTGATAATTATTTAATTTTCATGACTAATTTAGGGATTTTGAGTCATAAATAAGGGATTATGGGTTTAAAACCTTAATTTAATGATGTATTAAAATAATTTATGTCAATAATTATGTTTATATACGGAATTTCATAATATGCTACAGCAGATTTAATAATGAAATAAATTAAAAGAATTTTTGCGCTCATACATATGGTTGCACTGATTTCACTTCTCCAATCAAAAAACCGTTTTGTTATCGGGCCAAGTGAACTATCTGTTTTCATACAGTCTGTGGTTTTACTAACAAACATGAGTATGAGTGTGATGATACGTTAAAAATATTATGGTAATATCATAGTATTATTTCGCTATTAAATTTTAACTTTTTTTATATTTTTTTATTTATTAAAAAATTATTTTTTGTTTAAATTAAAATGGATACAAGTACAAATAATAAATCAACAAAAGATTTGTATAATTCTGGAAGATTTACTGAATGTTGCATACTTTTTAATCAAATGATTGATCAACTATATACAAACTCAAATCATTCAGTGTCTGAAGAAATTGAACTAATTATAATAAGAAATAATTTGCTCGTTTGCAACTGCTTGGTAAGTACTTTCATAATTATTCGTAGGAGTTTATTTAAATAATTTTAGGAATAAAATTTTTTCAATGATACCCTTCTAAATTTTCCTTTAGTTAAACTAGGTTATAATAATAATTTTTTTACAGAGAATCTTGCCTACAATTAAGGAAGATTATGTAAGTAAGATGACGGAATTCATTAAATGTTCTAAACTTTATTTATTTGAAAATCACATTCCATTAATTGTACGGTTAAATTTTGTTTGCAACACTTTGTATTGGTATTGGTTGAAACCATCAGAAATTCCTGACTATTGTTACAATGGAATTTTAAATTTAGTTAATGATACTTTACTTAAAGGTATTTAAATTAAAAATCATTCAAGTAAACTTTAGACATTACCTCTAGTGTATACGTTTATTTTAGTAAATATTTTGTATTTGAAATGTCTGACTTTGATGGCCTTGAATTACTCCATGAGTCAAATTTTAGAATGAATTTTTTTTTTTTTAGTTTTACAAGATACCGGGAAAAATGTTATAAATTTAAGTTCTCATGTTGGACAAGAGCAAAATGTATTACATTGTCTTGAAAATATTTCAAACATGTTCATATGTCTGGATTCTTTAATTGTTGTGGAATGTATAGAAGTCACACAAATCTTACTACTAATTTTTCTAACTCATCAATCTTGCATTTCACTGTTTTTTCACTTTATATTGAAAGTATTAAGTCAAGCTCAAAATATAATAAATTCATTTAAGTTCAAAAAAAATATTCAGAATTTTAATTGTTTTAAATTTGGATTATTAAAAATTAATTCATTTCTTAGTGTCAATCATATTAACTCTATCATAGGAAGTTTACATATATCATTGTGCATTGGCTATATTTTAGAACACCAATATCAAGAAGTAATAACCACGTTAATAAATATTGATCAATATATAGAATTCAAAGATGAATTATTTTGCTTGTTGTGCTATGTACAAGCTGTAGCAAATTTTAACCTAGAAGATTATGAATCTACATTTTATTATTTAGCACAAATGGATAACTGTACTATGGATTTATTTATGAGATCAAGATGTTATTTATTATTAGGTCGTACCTATTCCAAAGTAGGCAATAGTGATATGGCCATTGATGCTTTTGAGAAATTAAAAGATTCAAAATATAATAAAATAATGGCATTTTACATGTTTCAACATTATGAAAAAAATAATATGGAAATTACTCATTTAATTGTTTTAGATCAGGTTTTAAAGGTATTATTTTTACTTAAAGTTTATTAATTAATCATGTTTTGTAATTAATTATGAAATTTTCAACTTAGGAGGATTGTGACATTAGTGAAAATATCACAATTAGTTTTTCAAATAAACTTCTATTATTACTTCATCCTGAGCCTGATGTAACCAATAGAGAACTCCTTTATTTAGCAGCTCAAAAGAAATATCAGCTTGGAGTAATTTTTTATTATATTAAATTATTATTATAAATTTTAAATTTATAGTTTCATTTTATTATTTTTACAGAAGTACAAGCTGGCTGCAATTGATTTTGAAACTCTTATAAATTCTAATGATGTATTCAATGAACATGAGTCTAAACTTATACCAATACCCTCTAACTTTATGTTAAAAAATGAAGCTGTTATCATTTTTTTAAAAGCCCATGAAATGAATAAAGCATTTACTGTAGGACAAAATTTAATTGAAGAATATGATTATGGCTGTGATATGTGGATAAGCAATTTATTTTGGGCAAATGAATTGAATAGCTATAATTATAATGTGATTGGCTCATTATTATTAGCTGAAACAGGATTTATTCAACATTCTGATATTATTTTAGGAGCTTTAAATAAGTATTTTTTAAACATCAATTGTAATTCATAATATCTTATAACTAAAATATTTTAGGTCTTTTAACTGTTTGTATACAATAATTGAAAGGGCTCAGTTAACGTGTGATGAAAATATCAAAACATTAAGACGAAAAATCATGGGAAAGGTGTTGTTACACAAAGCAACCATATTAAGTAGACTTACTGATCGTGAAGAAGAATGTGAAACAGTATTTAATAAAGCAATAAAATATAACCCTGGTAATTCTTAAATAATAATATATACTATACAAATAATAATAATATGTAGTAATACTTAAAATTAGTAAATTTTAAGAATTTTAGGGTTTTAGGGTTAGTATTCATTAGTTAAATAGTCTAATTATTTTACAAAAATATTTATTATTTTTAAAATTCTAAGACTTGAATTCCTTGCATAATATAATATATTATCTCATGTATTGTTAATAGTAACCATAAAAAAAATTGAATAAGATAGGCAAAACAAAATTAACAATTCTAAACTATTTAATTACAAATTAATTTTTCATAAGACTTTGGCATAAATTACTGTACCTAAATTAATACAAATTTTCCTAGCTACATTTTTATTGATGTTTGTACAAAAATTTAAAGTGTTAAGTTGTGTTATACTTGCTAATTGATAATATATAATATGAGAGCTATGACTCAATAACTAAATTGGCATACTTTTATAAACTTTGAGAGGTATTTCTTTATTCTTATTTCTGGCCTTAATCCCAATTATTTGGGATCGGCCACCCTTATCCTAAACTTCCACGTGACACCACGATCAATATTTATGCACACATCAGGCGTCCTCATGTCGCATTCAATAACATCTCTCCATCTCTTTTTTGGTTAACTCAAAATTCATTTTTATAGCTGTTCTTAATATCAAATAATTAATATATTGAAATTTAAATATTATTTGTGTTATATAATTATATTGTACATAAAATTTTTAATTTTGTCATCTGAAAATGACCTAGGCTAATTAGTTTTTGACTGTCAGTACAGATTTATATGATCATAGTTTAAACAATTATTTTTATTTACCAGGAGATGAAGACATTATATATTTGTTTTCAAAATGGCTGGAACAAAAAGGAAAATTAATACAATCGATAAATGTAAGGGACTGTTTTGATAAAAACATGGATAACACACTAGAATGTGAAAACATTGTATTAAATCATGTGCTGGAATGTAGTATGGATCTTGAAAATACGATAATTGGGAATAGTGTTATAGATGATTTGTTTGCAGATACTGATGAAAAAACAACTGATATAAATTCTGAAATGAACCCACAGGATGATGATATTTTTAATGATTTGTTTGTAGATTAATTTTTTATTAAAGAATTTAATTATTTATGTAACATATATTAAGATTATATTTAAATAAAAAAAAATTATATTATATAAATATTCAACATGAATATAAAAATATTTTCATAAAAATTTCATTTTAATAAACTTAAAGCTTGAACATATAGAAGTGAACAATCTAATTTAATATTTTTAAATTGCCATCATACATTAAAATTATGATTTCTTAAGAAAAATCTGATGAATTTAAATTCCAGTATTAAGTAATTATGCTTGAATTATGTTTTCTAAAGTTATATCCAGGCTTTTGGGTTTTTTAATACTTCAGACAGTTTTCCTTCTCTACTATGTGGATCTGGTTTATGCATGTATTTCCAATTCTACAAATATTTTTTACAATAAATCAAAATCACATATAACTTATTTAATTAGTTTGGTTTGTGATTATATTAATTTTTCAGATATTTTAGCAAGTTCTATTTTACAGAATTGTTAAAAATAACTAGTTCTATGATGTTACCTTCATAGAACTAGTTGGGTTGATTAATGGAGGAAGTAATTAATTATATTTTTTAGTATTATGTATGTCAATAATCTAGCAAATTGTTTATATAATTTTATTTTTAAGTAAAAACAGAACTCTTTATAAACATACTGCTGTAGAAGGAAGTGACATAAGAATACTTTCATATCGGGCTCCTGGAGTATATAATCCAAATTTTGTTCCTCTATCATAAATTAAATTGAATTCTACATATCTTCCCCTTCTTAACAACTGCCAGTCTCTTTCTTGCTTTCCATAATTATCATTTTTATGTTTTTTAACTAAAAAAAATGTTTAATTATTCTTTATTTATAATTTTATATAATATAACAATATATAGTTATAATACCTAGAGGTATGTATGAAGGAATAACAGCTTCAGCACAACTTTTAACAAAAGAGAAAACATCTTTCCTGGATGGTGAATCTAAATCATCAAAAAATATTCCCCCAATCCCACGACGCTCACCACGATGAGGAATATTAAAATAATTATCACACCATTGTTTAAATTTTGGATAGTATTCCTTGTCATGTAGATCACAAGCACTTTTTAATGCCTTATGAAAATGGATTGCATCATTTTCATTTAAATAATATGGGGTTAAATCTGTTCCACCACCAAACCACCACTAAAATAATTAAAACTATTTTCATTATTTAATTAATTCATATCTACATCTGTTTCTAATTTACTTGTGTTGTATTATCAGGTTGAACTACTTCAAAATATCTATAGTTAAAATGAATAGTAGGCACATATGGATTACGAGGATGTATGACTGCACTAATGCCTGCAGCAAAGAATGGAAGAACTTGACCATCTTTAAAATTTTTACCTCTAAAAAAAGATTTTTTTTTCAAATAATTTTATTATATAAAAATGACTTTATTACCTAGATTTCATTTGAGCTATAGCCCCAGGAGGTAAGTTTCCGTGAACTACAGATATATTAACCCCAGCTTTTTCAAAAACTTCACCATCTTGCATTACACATGTTATTCCACCACCTCCTTCAGGCCTTAACCATCGGTCAACTAAGAACTTTTTGGTAGGTTCTTCTTTTTCTAATGCATTACAAAACTCAGCCTATAAATCATTCTAAAAATTAATCATAACATTATATTAGATAATTAACACCTCACTTGTATTTGCATAATCATCAACTCCATGATTGTTCTCATATTATCAGGTGATTTTTGTAAAGTTTGAACATCAGTCACGGGGTCTGCCATAAAGTTTTCAGTAGCCAGAGATTTTGCAAGAACGCAATAATGAGAGACACTTGCCCCAATTAATATACCAGGTATTAACCTACAGATTAAATTTTCACGTAGTTTGATAAAAATTATAAGAACTAAATTACATACCGTAAGCTTTTATCTTTCATGAGTTTAAATGAAATTACTCTGAATGCTAATTTAACATTATATGATAGGATTTTTAAAACCATTATTTATAAAGAATATTAGAGAAAAAGTTTGAGTTATCTCGTTAATTTATTCACCAAAAGCTATAGTTTTTTCTATTGTACGTAGTGAAAGCAGAATAAATTCACTACATATAAATGCTACTGCCACACAACAGTGTTCGGTCTACGCATAAAGCATTCTCTATACTATGTATAAGTAAAATTCAAATTTTAATTAATTCATGACTGATAAGTTGAAACGTATCATGTGATACGTGATTTAAATCACGTATCAGTTAACTTAAAGTAAAACAGTATAGCCAACTGATTATGGAGAATGGTATGGTTGGTGTTATGCTAATTTCTTTAATTTAAATTTAAAAAATGTTTAGATTTCGTAGTTAATGTATTTTTTTAACCTTTTTATTTATGTCATATATGAGAGAGCATAGGAATATGAAACTTTTCAACATAATAATGAATCAGCTTTATATATTATGAACATGCGGATGGACTTATTATTTAACGCAGGAAACATTTTGTCTGGTAAGGTTATTATAAAAAAAAAAAATGGAGGGACTCGCTCCTTCAATTTCAAAATAATCCTCTCTAAAATATCAGGAAAATTATATGTATTGTTAAACAATAATCATTGTAAGAAGAGAAAAATTAGATATATTATTTTCCTTCAAACATTTTGTCGAAATTGCGCCCATAACAAAATATATTTTTGATAATCAAAAAATAATATTTCACTTTTTCTTCTGAACCATTAGTTCTATTAGCAATAGCACTTAGTACTATAAATAAACCTTAATACATTTAATATTTTGACATTTTAGTTTATTCTTTCCACAGACCACAATAGTATTATAAATAATCTACAGGATAATTGGTTGATTTAGATGGTCTGTCATTTAAATTAATTATATTTTTCTTTAAAAATTACTTTACTACCTATTTGATAAATTTATTTATTTTATGTGTAATTTAAAATTGTATTCCTGACACATCTATAAATAATATTTAATGAATGTCGAGAGTAGGTTTTAATAGTTTATGTATATGTTATAAATGTCAATTCGTACATACAATTTAATTTTATAATTATATACATTATATTACAGGGCTATCCAAAAGTAAAAAATTTAGAGTAAAATACATATTTGTTATTGTGTGACTTTTTTCGAGATTTTTGGTTGCAGTAACACTATATATCAAACAATTACCGACTAAAACAATTAAATATTGATTAGTGAGGGGTGTCTCACCCCTATGCCCCTCGGTATAACCCTAATTATAAATCATTCTGAAGACACAATTTTTTTTCTAACAAAACCGATTTAAGTAAACAAGATCAACAAACCTATTTGTTTAATTAAACATATTTGTATATAGTTAGTGGAAAATAAGAAAAATATTTCTTAAGTAGTAGAAGATTTTTTATGCATTAGTATAGTGTTTTGATATTAGTGTAGGAAACTAAACAAACAAAATGTGTAATAAGTTATGCCTATGCATTGTTTTTTTCCACGACTCATTGTCGCAACTAAATTAGTTAACTAAGTAGTANTTAGTATAGTGTTTTGATATTAGTGTAGGAAACTAAACAAACAAAATGTGTAATAAGTTATGCCTATGCATTGTTTTTTTCCATTGTCGCAACTAAATTAGTTAACTAAGTAGTATCGCGAGTGGTAAAAACAATATATTTGACAAGTAAATGAAGAAAAACTAAAAATTAGGTCAAATGAGTTTTTTTAATTTTTAGACATATTTAAGTAAGTCATAATTATTCCCTCTAATCTTTGGTAACTTGGTCTTCGTGAGTGTATCTGTTTCACAGTAGATGCCTATGAATCATTTTTACTTGCGAGCGGCTCCTAAGTTACACGGCGTCATCATCGGTGGCTGTGGCGACGTTTTTGCCGCTTGGCCGCCGTACCGCCGCCGTTTAACGATTGGCGACAGCCCGGGATCGGCAGCAATTTTCCCCCTACTGTTACATCAACCACTAACGCTGCCACTATNACTGTTACATCTACCACTAACGCTGCCACTATCAACACACTCTCACGCGCGCGCTTACCTTCCGCCACCGTTCACCTTTACACCAAGTCGAATCGCCCTTTCTTCCTCAGTGGTCCGCAAAACTATAAGCGTGTACGTCGACTCGTACGCCTCTGTGGATGTACGCGTTCGTCATGTATAGTACACGAAACGGACGTGGAGGCAATCCACCGTAGTGTATACTAGTAAGCTTTTATCAGCCGCTCGTGGAGGGGCTGGTAGTGGCGTCACGCACCCGCACTCAGCTGCCGGCCGAGCGCACGCGCGTCCACAGTGACGAGTAGAACGTCAACGCTGCGCGTTTGGCCGTGCGTACATCGTAGTCCGTACGCTACACGTTATTTACGCGAGATAACGTTACGGAGATAACTACGGTCGCTCCGTTCGACGCGCACACTGCGCCAGTGATGAGTGCTGTCCACCGTCGCCACTAACGTTAATGTTTTTTTGCCCTTTTTGTTTTTACCGAAGTGGTTTCGCCGCCGAAATAAGTTGTGTCATATTAAAAATAATTGTGACGAAATATTAATCGCATATGTGTGCAAAAACGAGTGTGATCGCATTGCGTTCAACGTGTTCGTAGTAGAGAATTCGATAATATCACCTTAATAATATGGTTTGTGTTTATTATGATTAAGAAAATATTCTAATTGTCGTGACCGCAGTTGTGTATGGTTTTGCGTGAAGCCGACTCGTTGCCCGAATCGAGGGACGACTGTGTAACGTGATAACGACTAACGATAATATTATTCGCTACAAATAATATTATAATAATGATCGTGTGGTGAACATTTGATCAAATATTACGTGTGTTCGAGTGCGTGTCAGATCGTAGAAGAACGTCATGAAGAAGTTCACGTTCAAAGGCGTTTTAGACGGCATACGGTCGTCGGTAGCACCTCAGATCAAACCAGAGCAGGAGATAGTGGAAACTCTCAGACCCGAAAACTTCCAAGTGGCAAAGGTAAGTCAAACCGAACGTCGTAACTTGCAATAATTTTGACGAAATCGACATTTGTGTCCGTTCATGAAAAACGGCGTTTGTAGGTAGCCTAGAAAATTCGTAGTAGGCGGCGTCGGTGGTTCAACATGTGCGACCATATGGACGTCAGTCAAACAATTCCACTGCACCGCCCCGTCCGCCTTTTCATCAACGGTGACGGCAACGTGCCGTATGGTAATACACTCGGCAATAGCTGCTTGTATTATGACAAGCCAGTACCTGCTACAGGCTATCGTCGGCTTATCTTTCAAGTTTAATAATGCGTTATTTATATCAGGGGCACATTTGTTGCAAGAGACATTTTTAACACATTAATTATCCATAATTGTAGTGAGTTGGGTAGATTATGATTGACCTAGCTGAAAATAGTTCCTTAGAGTCCTATGTGCCTAGGGACGTATTTTGTAAATATTTTTTAATTGTTTAACCTAGTACGTATGTGTACAAGCAATGAGTTTTCATGTTCAAAAAAAAATATATGAAAATGAAAAAGTCGTTTTCTCAAAAAACAATTTTTGTCTAAATTATTTCTATTTTTGTAAATTAAATTACAGTGGTATTTAAAGTCAAAACTAGTTCTCGTTAGTTTATTATATTGTGTGTGTTTTCAAAAATATATATTTTTGTTTCTGTATTTCTTTTGAATAAAGCTGATGTCGAAGTTACAGTGCTTGGTGGAAATATTTATTGCGATCAATGTAAACACGCCTTATTATTATATAATAGAACTTTAATATGTGTGGTTGTTACTTTTATTGTATTTTATTTAACCGTAAAAGCTCGTTTATTATTCCACGTGGTCGCGCTTTGACAAGGATTCAGTGTAAAATCGTTAGAATTGCTGAGTAGTCAAATTTCCGTTGGTGAAAATATGAATACGAATAGTCAACTTAAAATTAAATTTTGTCTAAAATTTACGATATTTTAAGTTGGTCAACTTAAATGATTTCAATAGAATTCTCAATCTTAGCATAGTTTAACTAATAGTTACCAAAGGTCATAGTCAAATTGTTTGGGTGGTTTTTCTGGCGCACCTTTCATCTTATTGTATCAGTAGTGACTCATTTGGCCCATCAACCTACTTGCGGCATGCAGTATGAATAAATAGCTGTATCGAACCATCAAGTAACTGTCACCCGAGTATTCGTGACCTGTAGAAATCGTAACTAAATTGAATATTATCAGGCGATATAGTTCCAATTAAAAATTAAAAGCATTATGAGACACCTTACAGACGCTTTGTAGAGTTCATTTTAATTAATATGAATAAACACTGCTAGTAAGCCGAAGTGTATCGATTGAAAACCAATGTGGTTTGATTGTATTCAAAATATAGTGGCAATTTGTTTTGGCAGTTGTCGGACATCAATGATTTGCTTAGCTGTTGTACAGGCTAACGTTTCACTGCACATTTGTTGTTGACGTTCGTCTGCTAAATTCGGCTAAATTGTGTAATCGGAAAATTATTGTTAACTATTAATACGTACATCTCGGCGCTTGTACGAAAAGTGTGACTTGTTTGAGCTATTCTGGTCGCCCGTCTGTGTTTTGTAAACATAATAGTTACTACAATCACAGACTATATGACTATTTTCATGTAGTCTGTTCTACAATTCTCAACAATCCGCGTCGAAACGGAACACTGCTGGTTTTGAAGGTCAGAGCCTTCGGCGACCGGCAATAATATGTATCGTATGACAGTAACGGCGATTGTTGGCCATTGAAACCTGTTCAGCGTTTTTTCTACGGCCAACGCACACGCGTAACTCATTGAATTCGAGTAAAAACCTTAGCAAACCATAGCGTGTTATTTAACGCGTTTAAATGACAACCCCTGACACTGTCATGTTGTTACTATTTTAGTAAAATATAATTATAAAACTGAAATAAGAGAGTCGACGCATTATGTAAAAATAATGCGATAATAATAATGACACGGGATCCGGTAAAACTTCTATTTTTAAATATTTTGCTCGTCGTATCCAGTAATGTTTTTAACGAAATTCATTTTCAAATCCACCAGTGAACTAACATTGTTTTTCTTTAGTTTTTATATCTGAGAGATATTCATGCTACACTAATGGCTTCTTGAGATTATTTTAGTGTATAAAAATAAAAAATAATGAGTTTGAGAAACCTTTAAATTACTATCAAAAAATATTTAAGGGTCGAATAAAATCTCCCAGCCTCTCGTTTTCTTGTTTATGGATACATAAAGACGCCTTTTTTTAACGGCTTTTAATTTAATAGATATTTGCCAACGAATTTTCATTTATCTGTAATACCTACATACTCTTCNACTATCAAAAAATATTTAAGGGTCGAATAAAATCTCCCAGCCTCTCGTTTTCTTGTTTATGGATACATAAAGACGCCTTTTTTAACGGCTTTTAATTTAATAGATATTTGCCAACGAATTTTCATTTATCTGTAATACCTACATACTCTTCCTTTGTAGCGTCATTATAAAAAATTATTAATAGTGATAAAACGAATATCATGTTGATCGCCCTTTGTTGTGTTCAGTATTTTGAAACTTATAAAATACCATTTAAAGCACTTACAAACGTCAAAAATAAGGCGACACAATAAGATTTCAAAAACCGAATTTGTAAAAGGCTTTGCTTGGTCCTGCGGACCTAAAATGAATAAAAAGGGTTCTATATCGCAACTGGGTCTTGCAGAACGTAACTGTGAACGGGAGAAATACTGATATATGATTTATAACAGTTTTCGATGTTTCAACAACTCACTTGTTGAATTCGCTGTAAATTTTAAAATATTAATAATTATTCTAAAAATAATAATAATAAATAAATGTTTACAAATGTATTTAATAATTTTACGAGTTAAAACCTTTTTATGTGCAATATTTTTGTAATATTAATCATTAAAACTTTAAACGTTCTCGGAAATTCACATGGTAAAACGATGTTTAATAATTATCTGTTATTACTTGCTTGTTTACCCTTGACCAAGTAATGGAATATGAACCAAAGTAATAAATATAAAATCCCATCATAAAGTTGGACAAACGCCCGTACTGTTGTCGTTGATGTTAAACGTTTTTAAATAGTTTCCTCATAAAGTCCGTTTATATTTTAACGAATTCTGCATTCATATAGTATCAAGATATTGAGGGACTTAATCATTGTTTTTCGTTTAACGTAGAACTCATTATCAAACAGAATTAAAGAACAATAAACTACCGACGATAAAGAAACGGCCTCACATACCCTAGTACTATATTTTTATATAGATTTGTAAATATATATATAAAATCCAACTAAGCAAAATATGACGTGCATGTCGAAAAGCAATTAGTATACGCTTCATATAATGCCCGTAAAAATAACATTCCACGTGACCCTTTCTAGTTGGGACTTAAAAAATGGCAAAACAAGAGAGAATTCCAATATGATAGACCTCTTCCCTATCAACGTCGTTTGGTTTCAAATATGTAATATATATTTTTATACTTAGTGTTTAATTATATGATGTATACATTTTTTTTTTATTAAGTTTTATTTATTGTTTGAAACGTGTATGTGTATTATTATTTTTTTGTAAAAAGTCTCTTGAGTCGTCATTGTTTATTGCATAAATATTTATTGTTTTGTATATTTTGAACCACCATGTTTTTTGTATTAATGAAACTGTGCCGATTTTAAAAGGCCCAGAAATGTACAGATGATGTACAATGAATTTTGTCCAAACTTTAATACATTTAATGTAATACTGCAGTGTACTATATATTGTTTCTTTGTGTATAGCCATTGTCACGGTTTCGGGACGCTCATAACAATATTAATGATAATAACAGTGACAATAATAAAACGAACCTTGTGGTCAACTGGGGTTCCTCGGCATTTTGTTGCGGACTACGTTTCAACCCTGTAACTTCCTAGGGTAGGCGTATTGCGTGTGTATGTGTTTGCTTCTGTATTTATTAGAGGCAGGTTAAGTCTTTATTGCGGTAGATAATTCTTGGGGCTCTGGGAATTACGTTGTCGAAACCCGGAGCGAGGAGATGACTTTTCAAATTATTTACTACTAAACTCCGTTATGATGATCTAACCCAAAATGATCATATGCCTCTCCGGTTTTCCCATTAAAGTTTAAAAATTTACTTGCATGTTGAAAATAGTTTGTGCGATAATTTTCAATGCATTGACGTCATAAGCGGTATCCACGAATATTTTTAGTGGTGTTTTTACAAATGTTTTAGACATTTTGGAAATAACTATTTTTAATTTAGATACTATTTTTATAAAATCGAAATTTTAGATTTATACGAAACACTTAATAAAAACCGCAAAAATGTTTTTATTATTTTTAATAAAAAATCATCATTAAAAATATCATTTTGTATAGTGATATTATTGTTATATTTATATATAACTATAATTCTGCCATATTTAGTGTTAAAAGTACGAGTATCTTGTCTTCCTAGTAGCTGTGTTATGTGTGCTTTCGAGGGTTACTATAAATTTAGCCATCAAACTTTTAACATGCAAAATTATGCATATTGAGTAATTCGATGTCATAAATTATATACAAACTTGAAGAGTGAAACTTATAGGATTATAATAGTTAAACTTTTTAAAGCATGTATCATAAGTCGTTTATCTTAGTAAAGGCGTTAGATGTAATATTGTATTATAACGCTTAAATTAGGATAGCTTTTGATGTACTACATCTGACGACATTTAATTGTAAGGTCTTTATTAGATATTAAGTTATTGTTTATATGAGATATTACTATTCTATTGCAACGTGCATGCAATCTAGTTTAGTGGGTATAAATAATTTTTGAAGCCGATGAGAAAGTTAGTCTTCACTATTGGCAGTTTCTGGACGCCACTAGGTATTAACTTTCTTGGAGGAAGCGACTTGGGAAACAAATGACCAACATCGAGTAAACCATGTGTGTGGTCAGCGTTATAAGTTAAAAACGCTGT